ACGTCCGCCGCCGCCGCGGAGCTTTCGGCCTCGCACTCCCTACTCCCACCGTCTTCCAGCGTCGCCGCCGCCACCGCCACCCTGGCAGCCTCCGCCAGAGCGGACGGATCGTACGTGCTGCTGCTGCTGCTGCTGCTACTGCCTCCCTCTTGCCGCTGCGGCTGCTGCTGAGGGGGCTCGTACATCGCCTCCACCTTGACGCCGTTGGTGCTTGGGCTGACGCGCCCGAACAGCAGGGCGCACCGGTGCTTCCGCAGACCCGTCTGCTTGAGATATCTGCTCGAAGGAGGCGTCGTCGCGCAAAGGGTCGGGGCGGAGGGGGGCCTTAAGAAAAGCGGGTAGGATTTTTTTGTGCTGCTGCTGCTGCTGCTGCTGCTGCTGCGCGGGAGGTGTGGTCATTTTGGTCAGGCACGTCGTCAGCTGTGAAAACACCGATGACCCTCACACCTGCCTCCGTTTGCGGAGGAGCGCGTCGCTCGTGCTGGTATGGTTGTAGGCAAACCACACACACGAGAGGTTTAATAAGTCACCGATGTCAGCGGAAGAGCAGTGCTCCGGGAGTCACCCGACGAGCAAGGCGAGAGGTCCGAAAGAGGAGCCCCGCAAATGAGGGGCAAGGACGGAGCATGGTTTCCACATGACCGATCACCGATGGCCAATCGTTCCTTCCTACTTTGCCAAAGGTGGCTCAAAAATGTCGTCCCTAGTCTATCTATCTATCCTAACGACAACCCTTCCCGCCTTTTCAAACCACTTCCTACTCCCCAGTACAGCTACCGTCCTCTCCTCTCTATTCTATGCCTCAAACATCTCCCTGTACCTCCCTTGTATTTTTCCCAGCTCAGTCATGTACACTTCCCTCTCCTCTTCGTACTACTGACATTCCGCGACTACATGAACACGGTCTTCGCATTCGAAGCCGCAATCACATTTGAACTTGTCGTCTTCGTCGCCTACCGTCCTATGTCTTCGTCGACGTTCTCGAAGGCCTATGTCCCCGGTCCTGAATTTGACCTTAAGCGTTGTCCCTGCATTCATTGGTCCATGTAGGTGATCTTTGAACCCTATGCCTTCTTTCCAACATTCCGTACAGTTCTAGACCCTCCTTATCCTCGGTTTCTTTCCTTAGATTCCGTTCTTCTCTCTCGGCACAAGCAACAGATATCTTCTCCTTGAACCCGTGTAGACCCTCCGTTTCCAGCGTTTCGCCTTCGTCGAACCCCTTCCACACGTCCTCTACAACCTTGGCCCATTCCGTGGGTTGTCTACCCCTCTTTTTGTTTGCCCACTTCGCCTCCAATACTATTCTCGGCAACCTCTCCTCTCCCATCCTGCACATGCGATACTGCCATGTCGCCCGAGGTGGGGGGTCTTCATTTCTAGCCTCACCCTTTACCACCAGAATATTAATATTGGACATGACGATGCCGGCGCGCGCGCAGGAGGGCACGCGTTCATAACCCCACGACGTGCCAATTTGTCTTTGTAGTTACGGCAGTGTCTTCCAAAAGCTAATTGAAGTAAACACGGCACCCAGCCATGTTTCGGCCCGAAGCTCAAGCCCCTGAGAACGCAAACACACACAAGTCCGAATACGACACGCTGGATCAAGCGCGAGAAGTTGGAAAAAAAGAAAAGAAAAAAAAAGCGCAGGAAAAGGAGTGCTGGGGCTCACCCAACGAAGTCGTCCATGGCGGACTGCTCCACGCTGATCTTCTTGACGTTCGAGTCCTTCTGAGGCTTGAGGGAGAAGGTCTGCGCCTGCATGGCCTCGATGTCCTGCCAGGTCTTGACGCGCTTCGTCGCTCGTGGCGGCGGCGGCCTGCCGTTATAGACCCACCCCGTTTGACAAAAGTAATGGGGTGTGTTTTCAGCGAGCACCATAAGCCTGCTCAACCACTTAAGAAGCTGCCGAACAGGGTCCTCACACACGTCCACCGAGTGTCCACTCCTCCACGGAGCAAGCACCGGCGAGACGACACGACAATTTCAGCCTACAAAATCGCTACGGAAAGAAGCTACAACATCGCCAGGGACAGATGAGCCTACTGTAGCTTTGCCGTGACCAGAAACAAGCATCCCTTTCCGAGCACGGTCGGAAATAGCAGAGCAGCAACAACACCAAAGCTCAAGCGCACCCACCACCAGGCACACCTCCAAAAAGCCATACCTGGCGTGCTGGGGAAACGGCACGAACTTGCTCCCGCCGGTCTTGTCTCCGACGACCGCCGCCTTCATCCTCCCCAAGGCGTCCGACTTCGCCTTCGCCGCGGCCCGCGCGGCCGAATCGCTCTGTGGCGGAAGGAAGAAAAAGACGACGAAATGTTCGCCAGCGGAGCGGCGGCTGTTGCTTTTACGCTTGGGGCACAGGGAAGTTGCCCTCACAGGGCGAAGGAAGGATTGCACACCAAACCAGCGAAAAAGTATGTCTCCGTTGTTCTTGTTTGCCCTTGAAATCTTGTTAGGCCGTTCACAAACAGCAAGGGCTTGACGGCTACGTCGCAACGTGTCGTGGAACATCACGCCCGGCGTGCGCCGCCAATGTATCGATACCCTTGGCTTTGGCTACATCACAAGAGAGACTTGTGCACGAGACAAATCGAGTCAGCATCACACGGAGCGGAATGGCCATACGACGAGCACGACTAGCTCGTCACCCGGTGGATAAGCACCCCCACGTATTTGTGTTCCTAACATCAAAGGCCACCTATGATACGCACACTAACCTTGACGTACAAGAAGTCCCCGTTCCCTAGACCCAGGGCCGCCACCGACGTCGCACCGTCCGCCGTGGAACTCCCTGCAGAGGCGTCCGTGCTCAACCCCTCCCCGCTGCCCCCGTCGCCCTTCTCCATCCCCAACTTGCCCAGTATGCCGTCGATCGTGTCCGCGCCCGTCGCTTTCACGCGCTTGACGGCGCCGTCCGGCATGCGAACGCGCAGCGTTAGCGGGCTTCCTGGAGCCGCCGCCGCCGCCGCTCGCCCGCACCAGCAGCAGACCGCTAAAAGTAGTACCAGGGACAGGGAGGTGGAGAACGCGGAACTACTGCTACGCCGGCGTGGGGGTTTCTTTCTCCTGATGTTGTTGTTGTTGTTTAGCGGTGCTTGGTGCGTGTGGTAGCTCTGCGGCTGTCGACGCCATCGGCAGCGGGCTGCTGTTGATGTTGCCCTTGTCGGGGCCTGCATGTCTGCTGGATGGGTCTTGAACAAATCGCTCTGACCAGCGAGCAAGATAGTTGACAGCGTGTACAGGAGAAGCGGTATTGTACGGAGTGATTGCACAAGAGAGATCAATGTACATGTGGTGTTGGCGTCATCGGGCAGTGGTAGCATGCCTGCTAGCGCGTGTAGGATCATCACACCTGGCAAGCGCAGAGCACATAGATACAGTACTGCTGTTGCCTGGGGGTATTTACAGGAGTACCGCTACATGAACAGCTCTGTTGCACTACCCGTGGTTGCACTTACCGTGAAAAACTGATAGACCAAGGCAAACGGCCTGAATTCTCAACCAGATAAGGAGAGCCAACTATGATGAGAGGTGAGCTGAGCCAGGCTGGTGAGGTGCTCGCACTTCGCGAGTCCAGCATCAGCCCGATGGGGCTTCGCGTAGAGTATAGACCGAAACTGGACAGGGATGTACTATTTTGTCTATGGATGCGTTGTATTTCGCGGAGCCCCACCTAACTCCTCTTTTCGCAGTCCAGAGCTGAGAGTAGAGTCAGCAGAGAGCACAGCAGGAGCCTGGTGTGCTGAGCGGTGTGTGGAGAACAAAGCAGGTGAGAGTAGGCGTTGTGAAGGAGCGTCTTGGTAGCGATTTAAAGCAGCGATGTACTTGTATATATACACAGCAGGTGCGCATGTACCCACATGTACCTGGTACGCATCAGGTCTGATGCTATACAGTAGTATGCAGTACAGCAGTAGTCTGAAAGGGATGTACAATACAGGGTTCAACCCCTCTTCCCTGCGTCTTGTGGTCTGTGCCTTCTGCGCCGCCGACTGCGCTGCTGCTATCACCATTTATTTCCAAAACGCCCTCTGTGCTGAACGCAAAAACTACGCCTTATCCAAGACGGGACGGTGAGGGTAAGTATTGATGTGGGGGTGTAACATAGTGTTTTAGGTTGATGTCGTGATGCATTCCAACCGTAGTCGAAGTTTGGTACTTTTGTAGGCAGTACTTGTCGTGGTATATAGAAGAGTTGGCCCGCGATGCCTTGTAGTCGGTGCTTCCTTGCCCCACGATAAACAAAAATATTCCTGCTGTAAACTTGCAACATGAAGCAACCCTCTACAACCTCCTTTGTCTCTGTCTTGCGTATGCACACGACAACAGGCGAACCGAACACTGCTCTTTTCACACGCGGGGAAACATGTTGTCGAGACGGCCCACCGGCCTTCGCGGCAGAAGCAGCTGCCGCACGGGACGGCCACTGTTGGCGTTGTTCTTGGCGGCCCTTCTCGTTGTTCTGTCGCCGGCGTCCGCCTTCCTCTCATCATCACCACCACGACCATCCTCCTCCGCCTCCTCCTCCTCGCGATCGGCGAAGCGCGCGGAGAGATTGGCGCCGCTCCACGGCATCAAGAGGAAGGTCAAGGTCGAGATGGAGGAAAACGTGAGGAACGACCGCCGGTCAATCAAGAATGCTTTTTTCTAGTTGCGTGGCCCGGCAAGGAGGCTGGCTGTGCTGCCCTCACGCTTTGTTGGTTGGCCTATCTATGTTGACCCCGTGCTGTCAACTTGGAATGGGACGACGTATCATGGCAACTTGCTGCTGCAGCGTTTGGCGGAAACTCTAACAGGATGCCCACCGCCGCCTGTCGAGCGACTCCACGTTACTAGCGAGCTCCTCTCGCCGTCCCTCATAACCCAACGTGTAAGCCGCTGCGCCGGGGGAGTGGTTGTTTGAGGGTCGTTCAGACCGAAGAAGGTCGGGGTGCAGAGACATGGTAGTTGCCCTGGTTGTCGTCCTGATGTACTTTCCTTCCTCGTCATCTTCCACGTCATGAGGCGCGTTTCCGCCCAAAGAAATGCGACAACAATTAATCATGTTTCAAGACGCGTCATTAGGGCCAGTTGGTTTCCATCTCTACAGCAGTGTAGCGTTTCGACCTTGGTCTATGTAACCCTCGGGTGTCCGCTACGACTTTGCTGTTGTGTTCCCGCGACCAGTTCTCCGGGAAAGTAGTGGAGCCGGCAGGGGCGGCGACGAGCATGTTCGGGAGCGACGCCAACGCGCTCTTCGACGTGATCGAGAAGAACAAGAAGAAGGCCGCGGAAGCCGCCGCCGCCGCCGCCGCTGCCGCCGCAGATGGCAACGGGGATGACGATGGCGATGAAGAAGGGGCAGACGGTGGAGATGCCGGTGTCGGGGACGGGGAGACGGCATGATAAGAGTCGTGCATCAACGTTTGAACATGAGAATCATACTGAGGCAGCAGCTGCGGTCATGTATGTATTGAGATAGAACTGCCTTGCTTTTGGTTGTTGGGCGTGTAGAACTGCTGCTCATGGGGCGTATAGAGTGTGTAGTCCGAGCCTGCCCCATGATTTGTAGGTTTTCCCTGTGTTGAAGCAAGAAAACGTGTTGTTTGCCTTGCCCCCTTTGAGGTCTAGTGTTGTGGCTTGCTTCCCTTCGGTGTGCACTGCTCTCAAGTGGCCTCTTTCGTTTCATTCGTTGGTGTGGGTGTTGGTCGAGGATGGTTTTCTTATGGACGGGGCTCGAAACGTGTTGTGTCTGGATGGCCTGCTTCTTCCACACGCCACCCAAAGTTGAAGGTTAAATAACAATTATAATTTCCGATCAGCGGTGTATCCACCAGGATTTCCGGATTGCACTCTCTGCGTTTCCCCGGCTCATACGTCCAGAAAATGCACTACACGTGTAAAACGGACAGACATCTCGACAAAACCCGCGCTTCCCTCGCCTGGGCTAGTCGGTACGATGTTAGCCTGTATCGACACTCTCCTCTTACCTCTACACCTCTAGACGTTGGTGTTCGGGTGGACATAATTGAATGGAGGTATCCATCCCCGAGCTAGGGGTACGATTTGTCCTTGCTTGGCCATGTATGTATTATGTGAGGCGCGATACTCTGCTGTCGCGGCAGCGTTGTTTAGTCGTCATTTTTTCATCGTTGGCGCGGCATCGCCGGACTTTTGGCTTTTCGATGTAACAGGGCTGACCATTATCAACAGGTCGAGTCTAATGGGAATGGATCTGGTTTTCCAATTGGATAGATACAATTGTAGCCTTTGTAATTGAAGTACTTTTGGAAGTAGTTCTTTTGGAACAATGGTTCACTTACACCTTACTTCGGCTCCTACAATAGCCTAATCGGAAGGAATGCGAAGTTATTCATTCGTACCAGCACAAGCAGCGATAGACAGATAAGTTCCGAGCGTGCGTGCGGATGGAGTGCGAACATGAATTTCAGGTTCGGAACACGAGTTTTTCTCTATGCATGAGTCTTCACCAACCACAGGGGTTGTGGCAATGCAACGTAGATGGTATGTGTAGATGTATGGAACCGCTAAGAGTTTGAAGCGTGGACGCTGTTTTTTAGTTTTTTACGCACACACCAAGAGAGCTTCATGATTTCTGCAAGCACATGCCAGAACTAAATGCGTAAACCGTTTCGTTCGGATGGTGCGTGCCGATGGTTGGTATTTGGTATAAGCTTCCCGACAGCAGTTTTCCAGCAGGTTCCGTAAGGGCAGGCGGAAAACATGCGACACAACAGACACGGCAGCAAGCCCGGAGGGGGAACGCAGAATCGGAATTGGTGAAAGGGTGGGAGGTTCCAAAAATACCTGTGATCAGACACAGAACTACTGCTGTGTTGTGTTACCAATTCCTTCTCTTGCTGTGCTGCCCGTTCACTCCGGCTTGCTTGGGTGGGTACAGCAGTAGTGGAGGGGGTTGTCCGTTGATCCACCTCTTCCTCGCGGGCAAGGCTTGTGCAAGAAAGCTGCACGAAGCATCCTTCCTCCCCCGGGCTATCAAAAGGTGTCACACCGACGTACGCGCGAGAGCGAACGCTGCATATCGGCGAGAGGTAACCAGAAACATGCCGCCGAACAACACAGCCCCTCCAAGGGGCATCGTGTCGTCCATGTCTAAGAAGGCGTTCAGGGCGGACAAGAGGCCCGACGGGTCTCTGGTGTGGACCGAGGACCCGGACAAGATGTGGGTCCTGGTAGAGGTGCTGTCGCAGGACAACACGCTGCTGCGGGTGCGGAACAAGGCTACTGGCGAAACCCAGGAGATCGATCTGGTGAGAAGAAGAAACAGACTGCCTTTCACAGCACCTCCTACGGTGCTATGCATAAGGATGCGGTTTATATACGTGGGTAGGTAACCTTCGACACACTCGACCGCTCTCCTCTAGCCTACTCTCCTTTCCGTGTTTTCCGCACGGCCCTCGTCCACCAGCTAAATATTATTCTCATTTCTGCTTGTGCGTGAGAGATGAAGAGAAAACGGACATCCCGCCGCCCACGCCGATGGGTGCACCGCGCAGCTGTCCGCAGCAAACCATCACGTCGAGGGCCGTTCTCTCGCTATTGCAACTGCTGCTGTGCTCTTCGCTCATGACGCCTCGTCTCGACAGAACATACGTACGGTTCACAGCAGTCGCAACATGCGTCACTATATCGTTGGGACACACAGCAAGCTACGGGGCGGCCCTTGCTGCTGTGTACTGCGCGAACGTCTACCTAAATACGAGAAATTTAACGTGGACATGTGTGTCCCCACCGGCATCTATCCGGGGATTGTTTGGTGCTTTTTTTTTGTCGTGGTGAAGGACCAAGTGGAGACCACCAAGAAACTTCACAACGTCCAGCAGTACTGTACCATGGCCTCTTTGCTTGTAAAATCTGCTTGTGCCGCTCAAAGCGGGAGCTTCAAATCACTCCCATCTCCACACCTCGCACTCACTGGTGCAGCAGTCGTGGCTCCGATTTTAGTATAATAGTAGTACAAGAGGGTGGTTTGACAAAGGCCCTCGGCCCTCTTAGATACCATATGTTGGAGCCCCCCTTATACCGGAATGAGAGAGCACTCGAGTTACGATTGTAAGAGGGTCGGGTGAGTGACAATCGATTTCGATCCCCTTTATCGAAGCCCCCTCTTATTCAGGTACCCTCTTATGTCCGAGCCGCGACTACTGTAGATAAGCGTCGCAGGTCGTGAGAGCGAGGCCAGTTTTGCAATCAATTATGGTGATTGGTAACGCAACAGAAGCGTGACAGCGGTGTGATTCCAAAGAGCCAGTGAGAAGAGGAACATAACTTGCTGAGGGGATCAATTCGTGGAGGAGAGAGAGAGAGAGGGAGAGAGTCGAAGACCACGAAGGAGCTGTTCATGCTGTTGGATCCGCGAACACGAGTTATCGTCACCGCGGACTACATAGTCAAATGACTGTCCTTCATCCTACAGCAGTAGGTATTATTATAGTACAATGTGCAGCATCTCACTTTACTTCACCTGCAATAGTACCGCACTCTAAAACCCATATACAAGTGGTGTGCTACAGGTTTTGTAGATCAATACTAAGCCCTCCTCCGGAGTTACGGTAGTACCCTTCCCTCTCTCGATTTGGTCCTTAATCCAGTTTCGGGCAAAATGCCCTGGCGCGTTCCCTCTTAATCGTTGACCTCGGGGGGGGGCGGGCAGAAGAGCATTTCGTATACCATACGAGTGTGCCGGGGGTTGCCCGGCTACCGGCAATTGTGCCAACCTGAAGGAAGAGAATCCACCCGAGAGCAGCTTCTGTCGAGAATGACCTCTCGGTACCCCCCCGTAGTTCTTTGGACGTAACATGCACGCACGCTTGCCCTTCCGCGAAAAAGATACCAGATGTGGTAATAGTAAATACCAACCTTGGTTGAACCTGCCGTGTATTTGTAAGGACTCAAGAGACATGTGTACAAAGATGGCAACGGGGGCGGGGCCCCTCGGTGCCTCTCCCCCTTCGCGTATTGGCGCGTGGTATTCTACATCTAGGGGGGGGCAAAAAGATGTTTAGAATGACGGTTAACACAAGATTGAGCAGGCGACAGGGAGCGGAAGGATTCCGACCTGGCATGCCTGGTGTTTGCCCCCTCAACACAAAGGGCTCGAGGCCAGAAAACAACCGCGCATTTCGGATACTACAACTACGCCGAACTGACCCCCACACACTTACGACCCCCCACCTTCACAAGTCCCTTTGCGGTACTTGCAGCACACTCGTGCCTACCGAATATGTGGAGCGTTTGTTTAGCCGGGATGCCCAATCAAACCATGGCATATCTGGTTTGGCACAGCAAACGCAAGGAGGATGACCAGCTTCTGGTCCATCCTTGTGAAACGTAAGCTTGACCGGCGAAAACCCGGCATATCGCTCAGTCCCGGTTTTGTCGGGATGCGAGGTCAATGGTCTTGCGATTGCGGCATGCGTTGACATGAGTACACCCCCCCTCTACCTTGCCCCCGATAGTAATGTCCGCATTCCCGCGTGTTCTTCTCCCTCGCTTGGCCTTTTCTTGCCGTCGTCTGCTGCTCTCGGTGTGTTGTGTTGTGTTGTGTTGTGTGTGTGCTGTGTGCGACGGTGAGCTCAGGGGTTCGGGGAGGCCCACCCACACAACCCCAAGGTGGTGGCGGACATGACGTCGCTGCACCACATCCACGAGGCCGGTATCCTGCACAACCTAGGGCAGAGGGCCCAGATCAAGGACCAGAAGGCCTACACATTCATGGTGAGAGACGCTTGTTTTTTTGTGTGCTTCTTGGCGGTGGTCCTACAAAAGTGAATCAAAGGCATCTGTCCACTTTTCAAGAGTCCAGGATTGGTTAGCAATATGGTCAGCCCTTCTCTTCTTGGGTGGGGAATGGCGATCATGATGAGCTTTGGGGGACGCTCTGATGTGCCAGCGTGTGGATCGTCCATGTTGGTTGTCGTGCTTGGAGTCGTTTTGAAGATTTCGGTAGGAGCCAAGCGACAGCAGTTGGTGTTGTTATGGCGTTATTTTGTTGTTCTTCGGGATCCCACCGACGCCAGCGCTGCTGCTGCTGCTGCTGCTGCTGCTGCTGCTGTTGTTGTTGTTGCTGCTGCTGCTGTCGATCCCATGCTTTTATCATGCAGAGGTCGTGTTGTTGTCTATCCCTATTCCTTTCTACGCAACGCGTTCGTCCCATCTTGCCCCCCCAACCTACACGGGTAACGAAAACATTTTGAGCCACCGTTTGGCCACGTGGGAAGGAACGATTGACCATCGGTGATCGGTCTTGTTGGAACAACGCTCCGCCCTCTCGAGGACGCATGGCCAAACTGTTACGGGTATGCAAAACATGAGTGCGCCCCCCCCCCCCCCCCCAAACTGCACGACGTCATCCACCGGCAGGGAACTGTCTTGATCGCCGTGAACCCGCTGCGTAGGCTGGAGGACCCCCCCATGGAGAGCTTCATGAACCGGCCGCTCAACCCGGAGACTCCTCACCCCTATGCCATCGCCGAGGTGTGTGAGATGTGCATCGTCAGCTGCTGCGTGCCGCCTTCCCGACCGCAGCGGCAACGGTAGCAGTGTGCACGCGCACAACTTGTTTTTCGATTTGTTCTCTCTCTCTCTCTCGGCATGTCTCTCTCGATATCTCGATATCTCTAGCTCGTCTCGATGATACGTGTGCTGTATGGTTTCGTTTTCGACGAATACGGGTTTCCCGCCCCGGTGGTGTCTCCCGGTTACTTGGTGGGTACCGAGGTCCTTGGCTGGCGGTGGGCGTTCTTTAGCTTCTCGAATCGTCGAGGCGGTTTCTTCCTATGCACCCTTCTGTCAACAAACTGGTGTGGTGGTCTGACTCTTGCCCGTGAATTTTGATGTATGTGTGTGTGCATGCTTTTCTCCTTGTGCATGTTGGTAGTCGGTTGCACCACTCTGACGATTGGCTGACCCAAATGCACGGGTCTTCATGTTCTCGTTGGCTGGCGTGCGTGTGTATGCATGTGTGTGTGCTGCAACAGCTGTCCTACCACCAGATGCGGTTGGGAGCGGGACGGAAGGCGGCCAACCAGTCGATCATCGTGTCGGGAGAGAGCGGGGCGGGGAAGACGGAGTCGTCCAAGATTATTCTAAAGTGAGACAATACAGCAGTAGTCAAAAAATGGGTCCCGGGCGTTCCTTTTTATTGCAGGGTCTTACAACAAGGAGAGAGCTGTCGATAATAGAAGGAAGGGATATATATCCTTGAGAGGGGTGCGAGTCTCTTGTCAAAAGTTTATTGGTGGTCATGATGGATGGTTTGGGAGGCGCGTTCGGCATGTGCTTTGGCACTGATGCGAGAGATACACGAGCCAAGCAAAAGAATTATTCGAAGGGCAATTTTTTTGGGTACACGTGGGAGCGTGGCGAGAGATGCGAAAAGGCACGCAGTCCTCTCGCGCGGACTCCTTGTACAAGTGATTCCACCACCTTCTTTCGGATTTTTCATATTGGCTACCGTTTCTTCTTCGCTTCTCCCTCCCCGCGCTCCCACGTCACCCCCCCCCCCCCCTCTCTTCGTCAGGTTTTTGACACATCGATCCGTCGGAGGCGTAACGAGCCTAGAACAGAAGGTAGTGGACTCCTCTCCTATCTTAGAGTCTTTCGGAAATGCCAAGACGCTGCGAAACAACAACTCTTCGCGTTTCGGGAAGTTCCTGAAGATGCAGTTCACCAGGGACAAGTACCGCCTCGCGGGAGCGTTCATCGAGACCTACCTGCTGGAGAAGAGCCGCGTGCTTACCCAGTGCAAGGTGATTGTTACCTCATGACGTTCGTTGTCGAAGTAGAAGTACTTGCGAGGTAGTTTGTGAAATTGGGTATTGGTGTAGTGTTTCCGGTTTTTGTCATTGTGAGATCTCGTGGGTTTGTCTCTGATGTTGTAGAAGTACTTGCGAGGTAGTTTGTGAAATTGGGTATTGGTGTAGTGTTTCCGGTTTTTGTCATTGTGAGATCTCGTGGGTTTGTCTCTGATGTTGTAGAAGTACTTGCGAGGTAGTTTGTGAAATTGGGTATTGGTGTAGTGTTTCCGGTTTTTGTCATTGTGAGATCTCGTGGGTTTGTCTCTGATGTAGCATTGGCCGCACCGACCAGCCGACCATTGAAATATTCCAGCAACAGCAACAGCAACAGCAGCAGTAGCCTAGGGTTAGGGGTAGGGTCAGACGAGCCAGCTGTTTCTTTCGCTCTTCCTCGTACGTTTCTGATGTCATCCATCGCTGGTTTGCGTTGCGTTGGCCGGGCTACATGGGACGCGCGCTGAATGCAGGGGGAGCGTAACTTCCACATCCTGTACGAGCTTGTGAAGGGGGCGGCGAAGTCTGGCCTTTCGAAGGACCTTCAGGTACGGACGAACGACGAGGAGGGCTTGCTTGACTGGGCTCGTAAACGGTGCTCGAGTTGCCATGTTTTGATATATACAATAGTGTTGAGCATGAAGTTCTCAACAGCCAAGTTCTTAGATGCCAGTTCTTGGCTGCCAAGTTCTTGGCTGCCAAGTTCTTAACTGGCAAGTTCTTGGCTGCCACGTTCTTAACTGGCACGTTCTTAACCGCCATGTTCTTAACTGCCACGTTTTTAACCGCCATGTTCTTAACTGCCACGTTTTTAACCGCCATGTTCTTAATTGCCACGTTTTTAACCGCCATGTTCTTAATTGCCCCGTTTTTAACCGCCATGTTCTTAACTGCCAAGTTTTTAACCGCCATGTTCTTAATTGCCACGTTTTTAACCGCCAAGTTCTTAACTGCCATGTTCTTAAATGCCACGTTCTTAACCACCAAGTTCTTAACTGCCACGTTTTTATCTGCCACGTTCTTAACTGCCACGGTTTTAACCACCAAGTTCTTAACTGCCACGTTCTTATCTGCCATGTTCTTAACTGCCACGTTCTTAACTGCCAAGTTCTTACATGCCAAGTTCTTAACCGGACTCACAAGTGATGCTAAAGTTCCTGTGTTTGATATAATGTTGAGCATGAACTTCTTGACTGCCTAGTTCTTGGGCGCGGGCGCTAGCCGTTTGCATACCAGAAGTCACTGCCGTGAGAAAGCTGAGTAGAGGTCGAAGACAGCAAACATCAACGAGCTCCAAAAAATCGGGTTTGTTTCGGGAAAGAAACTCCGCCGAAATGCTGCGCTGTCAGTACCATAAGAATTGTCCAACGCGGATGTAGGTTAGCAGAAAGAACTACGTAGTTGCCCGGGCGCACTGGCTGAATAGAGCATGAAAAACATCTGACGGTTTTACAATAGGGGCAATAACAACCTTCGGGGTAGATTTGGATGTCCTTTAGGGGCAACTAAGCAGGGAAATATCGTTAGGGAAAGGAGAGGCGTTTGCTTTGCTGTGTGCTGTCCGCACCCCTTGTCGTGTACTGCTGTTGTACGAGCACGAGCTAGGATGTGGTGCACAGTGATGACAACCCCCCCGACGGCATAAAAGATCGCGTCTAGCCTGTTTGGTATAGGTCTGACACGTCTGACAC